GTTTATTAACAATCTACTTATTCAAAATACTTCATATAGGGCTCGTTGGATGCGGAATTAGCTTAACTTTCAATTGGTAAGTTCAGAATTACCATAACTTTATTTGTTTGTAAAATATTTTATTTTTTACTAACAACAAGCATCCAAAAGCCCTATATGAAGTATTTTTGTTCAATTTTAGTTAAATAACAATAAAAAATAAAATATGTTACAAACAAATAAAGTTATCGTAAATCTAAACTTACCAGTTGAAAGTTAAGCTAATTCCGCATCCAACGAGCCCTATATGAAGTATTTTGGATAAGTAGATTGTTAATAAACAATTGCAATATTAACTAATTGTTTATTAACAATCTACTTATCCAAAATACTTCATATAGGGCTCGTTGAATGCGGAATTACGTTAACTTTTAATTACTAACTTCAGAATTACGGTAACTTTATTCGTTTGTAAAATATTTCATTTGTTATAAACATTAATTAATTAATTAATTAATATCTCAAAAACTTTAAAAGATCCCACTCTGAAAATTACATGTTTTGTAGGAAATTAGTCAAGCTTTCCATTGAGATAGTTAAAAATAATTTTAAAAAATCCGATTTTGAGATAAATGTAAATTAACATTTTGACCTTGAATTTCAAGGTCAAATGTTATTTAAAAAAAAAAATTTTATAAACAGCGTGTAGCTCGTCAAAAAAGCTTTAAAAATCATTATATATATATTAACTTTTATGCATTCTACTTATAAATATTGTACATTGAAAAAAATTTTTTTTTCAAAAGTCAAAAATTAAAAACGTTGTAATTTAAAAACTATTTTATTAAATTCAATAATAATTGATTTTTAGACTTTCACCAACAATAACAACATTTTAGAAAAGTATGGATTAAATTCGAGAACTTTTAATTTTTTGTTCGGACATTTCAGGAATTTTGCCTTATATATTGATCTACCTCCACAAATTAAAAGAAATAATGAAATTAATTCATTAACCTGAAAAATGAAGATAATAAATATTTTAAGTGGGCGGTTCTCTCAGCCTTACATCCAAATGTAGTAAGAAGTGATCCAATTCCTAGTTATAAAAAATTTAAAGATAACTTGAATTTCGATGGTATAGATTTTCCAGTATCACTAAAAAATATCCCGAAATTTGAAAAATTAAACGATGTTTCGATATATGTCTATGGTTTATCAAAATATTAAGGGGACTTCTCAGTACATCCTCTTCACCTCACTGTGGAGAAAAGAGATAAACATGTAAATCTCTTATACGTTACGGATATGTATACGGATGAGAGTGATGAAGAATATGTAATAAGCGATGGCGGTGATTTTTTGAATTTCCATTATGTATGGATAAAAAATTTACCTGCGCTAGTATTCAAACAATTGTTAAATCAATGTTAAATCAATGTTGAATCAATGTTGAATCAATGTTAAATCAATGTTGAATCAATGTTAAATCAATGTCCAATCAATGTTAAATCAAAGTTAAATCAATGTTGAATCAATGTTAAATCAATATTGAATCAATGTTAAATCAATGTTGAATCAATGTTAAATCAATGTCAAATCAATGTTAAATCAATGTTTAATCAATGTTGAATCAATGTTAAATCAATGTCAAATCAATGTTAAATCAATGTTTAATCAATGTTGAATCAATGTTAAATTAATGTTAAATCAATGTTGAATCAATAAGCGATGGCGGTGATTTTTTGAATTTCCATTATGTATGGATAAAAAATTTACCTGCGCTAGTATTTAAACAATTGTTAAATCAATGTTAAATCAATGTTGAATCAATGTCAAATCAATGTTGAATCAATGTTAAATCAATGTTGAATCAATGTTAAATCAAAGTTAAATCAATGTTGAATCAATGTTAAATCAATATTGAATCAATGTTAAATCAATGTTGAATCAATGTTAAATCAATGTTAAATCAATGTTTAATCAATGTTAAATCAATGTTAAATTAATGTTAAATCAATGTTGAATCAATGTTAAATCAATGTTGAATCTATGTTAAATCAATGTTAAATCATATGTTATAATGTATATATTAAAGGAATTTTTAAATAAAAAACACATGAAATTAAAATACAATTGTTCTATTTATTTCTTTTATCAGAGCATTTACATTTCCCGACATTTTTTCTCGAACTTATCAACTATTTACAAATCGTCGAGATTTGGGATCGCATAGTGACCCCACGGTAGAGTATCGGTACTCCCCGGTAACAAATACCGCTTGTCGTCTTGCGGACTTAAAGCTACTTTTACCTGCTTCACAGTTTCAAGATTGTAAAGCCGCGATCGTATATTATATTGTGTTCGAGTTTGAATGTCAAAATCTCGCAGACCTTTTACATAATCATCAAATTGAATTGTCTTTTTAACAACGCCGGCTTTAACACCTTTAGCTTTTTTAATAAAATCTTTATCTTCGACGCGTACACTGAACATTTTACTCCGCAAGCCAACAAATTCAGTTACAATTCTGCCGTTGCAGTCTTTCATGAGGCTTAGGACTTTTTTGTTGACTTGCGGAATATCATAGACGTTATTCGCTGGATAATCAGATGTATCAAACTTGTCAATATCTTTTTTCATGTCTTTTCTTCACACTTGATTTCATAGATAAGACTGTCTGTATCGGTATACATTAGTTTACAAGCATCGCCGTATTTATTAAACAAGTGACCATAATGGAAATCGTAAATTAGAGTCTTTCATGAGGCTTAGGACTTTTTTGTTGACTTGCGGAATATCATAGACGTTATTCGCTGGATAATCAGATGTATCAAACTTGTCAATATCTTTTTTCATGTCTTTTCTTCACACTTGATTTCATAGATAAGACTGTCTGTATCGGTATACATTAGTTTACAAGCATCGCCGTATTTATTAAACAAGTGACCATAATGGAAATCGTAAATTAGAGTCTTAGATATATCAAGCACACTTAACCCTACATAGATTGGTTTGTTGAGCAGTACCTCGACTATGCACAATTCAATAGTAACCAGATTTTCGTCAAAAATCGCTCGACTTTTGAAATTTGGGCGGGAGATTAGAGCTTCAGCTCCATAGCGGCCGAACCATTTTGTGACATGTTTAATGTCAACATGTTTGCGGACATCTTCCATCGTCTTGCCGTACCGCATTGTTCATAAGCTTGATCAAATTTTTTTCGAACTCACTTTTAGCATTGGTTCGCATCATTGCGTTATAGTCCATGTACGGTTTAAGCCAAGTTGATTGCTTAAACTGTAAGGCACGGTGAATTTTCACAATTTTAATATCGTTTGCCACAACTAGTTTGAGCGTACGATAATGAATAACATATTTTTCTTTAGGCATGAGAGTGGTTAACAATTTCTCCTGTTTTGACAATGGAGGTTTCTTATTTTCAGCGCAGAATGGCATGTCTTTATGAGTATCATGAATGTCTATCGGATACTCCAAATCAACTTCCAGGATGTACCCAACAGGGGCCTGAGGAGTTGACGACCTTGAAGCAATCCAGAGCTCCGGCGTCGACGACCTTGGGCGAATCCATGGTCTTACAATGGCCTCTGGTCGCGTCGGGGCCTCCGGTATCGCAAGAGTCTCCAGCTCCACATACCCTGGTGGCGTCTCTGGACGATGCCATGGGTACTGCACCCTGTGTGGACTTCCTGGAGGCGTCGTGGGGAATGGCAACTAATAATAATAATTAATTAGCACCATTCAATAAATAACCTGATCGTTAATACTTACATTGTACAGCGACATCCTCCTCACGGAGCAGTTGTAGCAAGAGCAGCTCTCCATAGCGATGTTACTTCTACCGCTCTGTTGCTGGAAATGAGCTCTGACGCTTTGGGACGCTACACTTTTTAACCACTCCCCACCACGTTTACCCCACCACGCACATACATCCCACCACAGCGTGTGGCAGCTACCTACAACTATGGCGCTACAAGTCCAATGAGAAAATAGAATAATAATTTTATATTTTACTAATTATATTAATTAGTAAAATATTTAAAGAAATTAATTGGTAAAATATTTAAAAATAAAATGGTATTAAATAAATAAATAAATAAAGATGAATTATACTTACTTTTATAAATCAAACATACTGACAGTTCATATAACATTAAAATTAGTTTTAAGTGTATTTTTCGGTTAAAATTATAACTGAACAAAATTATCCAAAAAATAATTTTCTCAAGCTCTTTTTTTTGTTTATTGAAATATTCTGTACGATTGTTTATTAAAAATTAAACAATTAATTACTAGAATTTCTATTGCAATAATAAAATTTTATATTTATTTTAAATCTTAATTAAATAATAGTTTACGTTAACTAAAAAATATCATAACTCAATAATAAACAGCGTTTAATTATAAAAAAACGTTTATTTTTATCTTGAGTTTCCATTTACATGCTTACAATAATAAAAAACATTTTTTCAAATCGAAAATTTTGACACATAGAATACATAAATAGAAACAATCACATTATAAACGTTTATAAAAACATAACCTAACATCTTTTCTTTTTTATTTTAAGGAAAAAACTATTAAAAAAACCTTTTATAATCTGAGATCATGTCATGATTAAAAATAAAGAAGTTGAGCTCATTTCATGATTGAAAAAAAAATGAAAACTAAAAGAATTTTTATAAAAAACTTTTGAAAAAGTATTAAAATCTGTAATATGATTAAATAAAAAAATACTTTTTTTAAGGACAAAAAAACGATTGAAAAACCTGTCATACTATCAAATTATTTAAAAGACATAGAAATAAAAACACTTTTTTAAGGACAAAAAAAACGATTGAAAAATCTGTCATAATAACAAATTATTTAAAAGAAATAAAAACAAATAGAAATAAAAACACTTTTTTAAGGACAAAATAAAAACGATTGAAAAACCTGTCATATTATCAAATTATTTAAAAGAAATAAAAAGAAAAAAAAAGTTATTAAAAAAAAATGAGCTAGCGCCTCTTTCTCGAAGACGCTGTGGACAGGGTCTTCATGGCCTTCGTGAGCCGCTGACGGGCTGTTCCTCTCAGCGGGAGAGCATCAATTTGTACTACACGTCTCGATGCAGCTACCGGCCTAGGCTGCCGCGGTGCTGGCTCAGTTCGCGGAGTTGATGCTTGAGGTATATGAGCAATTCTTCGATTCATCGGTGCCGGTTCTGGAGCAATTTCTGCTTCACGTCTCGGTGCAGCTACCGGCCTAGGCTGCCGCGGTGCTGGCTCAGGTCGCGGAGTTGATGCTTGAGGTATATGAGCAATTCTTCGATTCATCGGTGCCGGTTCTGGAGCAATTTGTACTGCACGTCTCGGTGTAGCTACTGGCATATGTTGCCGCGGTGCCGGCTCAAGTCGCGGAGTTGATGATTGAGGTATATGAGCAATTCATCGGTGCCGGTTCTGGAGCAATTTCTGCTTCACGTCTCGGTGCAGCTACCGGCCTAGGCTGCCGCGGTGGTGGCTCAGGTCGCGGAGTTGATGCTTGAGGTATATGAGCAATTTTTCGATTTATCGGTGCCGGTTCTGGAGCAATTTCTGCTTCACGTCTCGGTGCAGCTACCGGCCTAGGCTGCCGCGGTGCTGGCTCAGGTCGCGGAGTTGATGCTTGAGGCATATGAGCAATTCTTCGATTCATCGGTGCCGGTTCTGGAGCAATTTCTGCTTCAAGTCTCGGTGCAGCTACCGGCCTAGGCTGCCGCGGTGCTGGCTCAGGTCGCGCAGTTGATGCTTGAGGTATATGAGCAATTCTTCGATTCATCGGTGCCGGTTCTGGAGCAATTGCTGGCTCAGGTCGCTGATCTGGTGGCGGAGGCGGTATTGCAAGACGAGGTCGTGTCCTTATTCTAATCCAGGGTTCTAGATCAGTCGGTTCATTAAAGACAAAAGGTAAATGATTTTCAACAGGTGCTGCAGAAAGATTAGGTAGCGCTCCTTCAAGATCATCATTATTTATTTGAAAATCTTGTTGATCATCTATTATACCTGGCATGTCTTCCAATCTAACGTGCTGCATCTCTTCAACTTGGACATTTAGAAGTTCTGGTAAAATAGGTGGTTGATCGTAATGATTGCTTCTGCGTCCAAATAATCTCAGCTCTTCCGGATTATACTCCATATTTTCAATTCCATCAAGTTGTATATTTAAATTATTCTGCAAACAAGTAATTAGAATGATAAAAATAGTTACAATAATAAACTGTCTAATAAGAAGAAAAAAAATTAATAAATTGGTTATACAAAAAATATTGTTTGACACATGAGATTATAAATACAGTAAAAGAGAATATTAAATAACAAAATTGATTAGACTGAAACAAGTTTTGACAGGTTATAAATACAGTAAAAGAGAATATTAAATAACAAAATTGATTAGACTGAAACAATTTTTGACAGGTTATAAATACAGTAAAAGAGAATATTAAATAAGAAAATTGATTAGACTAAAGCAATTGTTGATAGATGAGGTTTTTTTTTTTTGCGTAGGGAATTTTGGGAAAATCTGTATACAGATACCTTGGCTTCCGCATGCCAAGGTTATGTCGGGTTGGTAAAAAAAAACACTAAACAAAATAAGCTGGCGAACTACTACCAGCCCAGACCCACTAAAAACCCGTCAACCCTTCTTGGGAGCCCTAAAACAACAATTTTTGACAGGTTATAAATACAGTAAAAAGAGAATTTCGAATAAGACAGTTGATTAGACTAAAACAATTGTTGACAGATGAGGTTATAAATACAGTGAAACAGAATATTAAATAAGAAAGTTGATTAGACTAAAACCATTGTTGACAGATGAGGTTATAAATACAGTAAAAAGAGACTTTTGAATAAGAAAGTTGATTAGATTAAAACAATTGTTGACAGATGAGGTTATAAATACAGTAAAAAGAGAATTTTGAATAAGAAAGTTGATTAGACTAAAACCATTGTTGACATGTTATACATACAATTAGTCTTCTTCGCCGCATATCTCGAAATCTGCATTTCTCATTCCTGCAGTTACACGATACTTGTATAATGTTTGGATCCTATTAAAAATTAAATTATATTTTTCACACAAAATATAAAGTTTTATTTAAAAAGTGTAAAAGATAATACTCACCATAGTAAATTGTTTTGCACGTTGTATCACGTTCCACCGGTTTGTATATATCAAAGCTTAGGTTAGGTGATAATATGGCGGCTCAGGGACGTAACTTTCCAAAAAAATCTCCCACAATTTCCACAATTTTTTTTATAAACTTCAATTCTTAATAATTATATAATTAATTTATTTAGAAAAACTTATATATACAAAAGATAATTATAAATTTTGTTTTATAAACGTATAAAACTATAAATTTGATACATTAAATAAAATTACCACCACACACTAAAGTCTCATAAAAGGATATTACAAAAATAAAAATCTCAAATAAATATTATTAATTATACATATATTATTAAAAAACTTGTAATTGAAATTTCTAAAAGTATACATTTTTTTTATAAATTTAAACACTTTTTTCTTTAAGAGATTATTAACCAATAAGAAAACTTTCATTCTCTTAGGGCTGGATAATTATTGATGCAAGAGTATAAAAAAAATTGGCGCGAAATTCATATTGGAAATGTTTTATTTTTTTACACATTAAACTGTTTAACTTAACTTTATTATAGTCTATCTTAATACATTAGTTAAAAAGAATTCAACTTATCTTAATAAACAAAGATTATAATTCTATAACGAACATAATGAACAAAAAATATAAATTTATTTTCAACATACTAACCAAATATATATATATTAGATAATATATATATATATTAGTACACTTACCGTTATAAATGTTTTTTAAACTCTATAGGAAATAAGTTGCTAAAAATAAATAGATGACAATTATAAAATTTAATAGTAAACATTTAGTGACGGTATCTGTCACACATTAAATATATTAAGTCAGTTAAACTAGTAGCGACATCTAGAGGTAAATTAACTTGGTCGGTAAAATAGGCTGCTCATTACCAATAAACAATTTTCACGCTAAAATTTAAAAATTGATATAGTCCAATTGTGTTAATCGACAGTGGCCCCATCTGTTAGGTTTTCTACCAATTAACTTGGTCGGTAAAACAAAATGGCGGCCAAGCAAATTTGAATTGTCAAATAAATTTTTAAATTTCCCGCCAAGTGCTCTGTCGGAAAAACAGTTACCTACATTACCAACCGGGTTTGAATTCGGCTGTCACTTACCGGCTGCTGAAAAAATAGGAATCTACCTTACCGACTGGGGATAACTTAGCCGAGATCAGAACCTGTCCCACAACCCCCATAGCTATACTACTCAGAGGCTATAGAACGAATGCATTGCTATAAAGAAAGGATGCGTCACTTGATCACAATCCCACAGGCGAAGGAATTGTGGCAAGTGACTTTAGGAATGCCGATAGGACAAGTGGTAACGTGCCTGTTGAGTAATCAATTATGTATTAGTGGCTCGTTACAAGTTTTGCGAGAACGACTGATTCGGGCAGAACTGAAACTCGCGCTTCCCTCAGAAACTGACGTACCCTTTTGCGACGAGTGCGGTAAAGGGAACTTAGTCAAAGTTTTTCAGTTTGAGGCATTCACAGAAGAAAAATGATTATCCAATGTAAATCTTAAAAGAGAATGCGAGTTTTATTTGAGTAGCGACGAGGAGAAAAATTCACGGTCGATTCGTGACTTGGGAGTTTTAGGAGATCAACAAAGTCAAGGGGCCATAAGAAAAAGGTGGGGAGATAAATCATCGCACAGCAGACCAAGTTCGACCACCGATGACTTTCCGTCCCCTTTACCGACCCTTCCACAATCACCACCGATGATGTCCACAGCGTCGATCCCCACAAATTCCCCACCACGAATGTCAGCTGTTCATTCTATGAATTCCGCGCCAACGACCACTGTGAATTCAGCCCCGGCAATGAGGGTTTCACCGACGATGTCGCCTAACGTGATTTGCTTGCGACAATCTATAGCCAAGTTTACCCTGAGTCCAGAATTGCAACAGCTGATCCGTATTAATAACCATTTAATGGCTGCTAGTATGGGTCAGAATGTGGGGGATAATAGCAATTTTCACCGGCCATCTCAAAATCCAGTAGAATTTGCGACAGGGGAAAGGGATGAAATAACTTCGGTTAATCAGGACCAATCAGGAGGAGAAGAGATTATCGTGTAGCTTCTCGATTAACTAAAGTCAATAGGACCTTAAAGGATTGGGATATTAAATTCTCTGGTGAGGAGCGAGAAGATCCTGAAGAATTCCTGGAGAGAATTGAAGACTGTTGAGATTGCGCCATGATAAGAGACGAAGATCTTCTCCAAACACTTGCTAGTATTTTCAAGGGCAGTGCAAGTAGGTGGTTCCGAACAATCCGCCAAGAAATCAGCTCGTGGAGGTCATTTAAAAAAGCTTTTCGACGGGAGTATTTAACGACCATTGATGACGACGAAGTGATAGATGAGATGAGGAGTAGGACTCAAGCGAAAGGGGAGAAAATATCCTCCCACATAACCAGTTTGCAACTTATAATGGGGCATCTTAGAAAACCATTGTCGACCAGAGAACAGGTTAAAATCGCGTATAAGGGACTTACCCCCACTTATCGGAAACAAGTCGATTCATCGGGGTTAGAATCACTCTCGAAATTAGAGAGAAATTTGCGACAGTTCGAAAAGGTTCAAGATCTCGACGACAGACACGTTCCCCCTCCCCCTAAAGAGAAAATGCGTTTTCCCGCCGCGGCTTATAAGGGTGCGAAAAAGGACGAAAAAAAGCCATCTTCCTCAAAAGAGACCAAGAAGATAGCGGCCTTGAAGGACGAGTCAGCGACGGGTAGCAAGGTAGAGAAGGTGGTCAACAAGAAGAGTAAAGGGAAAAAGTCGAAGAAGACAAAGAAAACTGATTCTGAGAAGGGGACTACAGAAGTGAATGCAATTAAGCAATCAAGCCCTCAGCCATCCGCGACTCCGATACGGGCTTCTAACCCTACTCCTACTTTTGCGACAGTGGCCGCTGGAAAGGGGAAGCGTCAGTTTTTGCTAAAACAAACATCACAAATTGCGACGGGTGGGCCGAAGCCATTTGTGGGGGCATGTTTCACATGTCAAATGGTCGGACACAGAGTCTCGGAATGTCCCATGAGGACATGTTTTGTCTGCCAGCAGCGTGGTCATTTCGCAGCACAGTGCCCAACCAAAGTACAGATAGAGTCATGTCTTGTTTGTCGATCACCAGGCATGAACTTCCTTAATTGTCCGAATTGCGTCCAAGTCAGTGGACAACAGAGTGGGAAGAGACCACTTAAACAGTGTGATGAGAGAGTTGGTACTGACGAATTAAATGAAGAGAATTCATTCAAATTTGTGACACAGGTACAGCCAAATGAGTGGAGAGTATTCACTCAAAAACATGTTGGTGATAGATGGGACTAAAGATATTGAAATGGAGTCAGTACCAATAGTCCAGGGGAGGGGAGAGGCTGTGACGGGCACAGCTGACCCAGAACCCTTATTCGATAAGGATGTAGACGTATGGAAAATCGTTATTTCTTTCGAATTACCATTGGCGACAAATGTTATGAGGCACTTTTCGACTCTGGAGCGATGATCTCGTTGATTAGCGACAGAGTGGCTGAGCCTTATAAGAGCCGCATCCAGCCTTGCAATACATCGATAAGAAGCGCCATTGGAGGAGTAACTGAGACAGCTGGATTGTTGAATTTGAACATCGAGGTGGATGGCCATTCTCAACCGTTTAGCGTCAAGGTCCTTAGTTCATCAGTACAAGACATAATTTTGGGTGTGGATTTCTGTAAAGCCAGGAATATGGAGGTGCAATTGGGACTGGGGTTATGGAGAGTTTTCAATGGCGACTGGCATGTTTTTGGCGTCAAGGATGGGATTGAGAGTGATGAGTCGATCTACGCTGAATGCGCTGGAATCTCTGCCTTGACGGACAAACAAAGAGAGATCATTCAAGAAATGGTGAACCGATTGGTTCTTCCAGAATCTGACGTACTGCGGGTGACAAATCTGACAGAACATCATATAAGGGTTACAGACGAAACACAAGTACAGCATCGCCAGAGACGCATGTCACCTATTATGATCACGTGGGCTTAAGGACACATGATTCAACTACATGGACAAGGCGTGATCGAACCATCAAGTAGCGACTGGAGGAGTGCTCCGGTGATTGCCAGAAAAGGGAATGGAGATTTTCGAATGTGCATGGACTATAGGGTTATCAACAAGGTTACCGTCAAGGACGCCTATTTAATTCCGACGATAGACTCCATACTCGACAAGTTAAGGGAGGCGCGATACTTGTCGAAGATCGATTTAAAATTGGCATTTCATCAAATTCCAATGGCAGAAGAGAGCAGAAAGTACACGGCCTTTGCCATCCCCGGCTCAGGACTGTTGCAATATCGACGAATGCCATTCGGCTTAACTAACGCGCCGATGACTTTTCAACGAGTAATTGATGCTCTTTTCGGACCAGAATTCGAACATCACGTGTTTGGTTATCTCGACGATATAATAATTGTGACAGATACTTTCGACGAACACGTGAAATGGCTGGTGATAGTTTTGAAGAAGTTCGCAGACGCGGGATTTGTGGTTAACCCAGAGAAATGTGAGTTTGGGTGCTGTAGGGTTACCTATTTGGGGTATCTTCTCGACAATGAAGGATTGCGACCAGACCCCGAAAAATCCGAGCCAGTGAGAAACTATCCAGCGCCAAAGAACGTCAAACAACTCCGGAGATTTTTGGGCATGGCGGGGTGGTATTCGAGATTTATCAAAAACGATAGTGAAATCAAGATACGACAGCGCCAGTGTTGGCCCGTCCTGACTTTAGTAAGACATTCACCATCTAATGTGATGCGAGTAGTTTTGCTATTGGAGCTGTGTTGACTCAGGAGTTTAACGACGATGAACATCCGGTGATGTATATCAGCCGTGTTCTGACTGGGGCAGAAAGGAATTATAGCGTCATGGAGAAGGAGTGTTTAGCCCTGCTGTGGGCGATTAAGAAGTTGCGACCGTATATCGAGGGATACAAGTTTAAGGTGATCACAGATCACAGTGCCCTAAAGTGGCTTAGAAACTTGAAAGACCCGAGTGGTCGACTAGCGAGATGGGCCCTGGAAATGCAGGTGTGGGATTTTGAAATCATTCACAGGAGAGGTGCATTGAACCAAGTCCCAGATGCATTATCCAAGATGAGTGAGGATGACGAAGAGATGATCGATGCCTTTTATACCATTATGGACCAATGGTACCTTAAGCGACGAGATTTAGTTCGACAATTCCCGGAGCGTTTTCCTGGATGGAAAATTGAGAACGATCATCTTTAGCGACACAGGAGTGACCCGTTACTCCTTCGGATTGTTGGCGACGAAGATGGTTGGAAACTGGTGGTACCTGAGTGGCGAGAGAATATTACTGGCAAGGAATCTGGAATGATGTCCACCAGTATGTCACTCGATGTCCCCTGTGCCAGCTTCACAAGGCATCACAAGCAGGACCGGCAGGACTAATGGGACAGAGGATAGTTGAGCGACCTTGGGCAGTAGTGGCAGCGGACACGATGGAGTTTCCACCAAGCAAGAGTAGGTGTAAATATCTCGTCGCATTCCAAGATCTTTTCTCGAGGTGGGTTGAGGTGAAGCCGTTGCGATCAGCTGATAGAAAGTCGGTGGCCAAAACATTTGAAGAATTGGTCCTCTTCCGCTGGGAAACCCCTGACTTTTTATTAACAGACAATGGGAAGGAGTTCGACAACAAGTTCCTCAAGGAAACGCTTCAGGAATATGGTGTCAAACACATCACCACACCACCCTACCACCCGCAAGTTAATCCTGTGGAGAGGAGTGGGTGATCTAGTACTCCATAAATCACACAAATTGTCGAGTGGTACACGGAATTTCGCGACAAAACTCGCAGCAAAATATAAAGGCCCCTTCGAGATCGTGGAGAAATTATCACCTATGGTTTTTGTCCTACTCGATAGGGAGAGTCGACGTATCCCTAAAATCCACGTCTCCGACCTTAAACGATACCTTCCTCCGCGAAATCAGTGACCGTATCTAATGATTATTTCTTTTGTAGATCAAAGGAGGAGTTTCGACGAGGGTGGTAAGAGACAGAGAGAGAGGGATAAACGACAGCGGCCATATTGATAGAAGAGAGGAGAAGGTCCATGGACAAAAAGCTGTCCTCCATGTAGTCGACAAGGGACGGACATTTTTCGACTTGGGTTTTGGGTAGGCGTTACTGCTGGGAGTAGTAACGGCCTAGGGGGGAGGTGTTTGTGACGAAGTAATTCGTCACAAGGCAATTTTTGACTGGGGTTGAGTTTCGCGCGTTTGGAAGTTTGTGGACAAGCAGAGCAGGTGTCTAGAACGTGGCGCCACCACGACGGCCATTTACGGAACGAGACGGAGATAAAGGCGATCGAAGAGGAAATCAATGAGAGATTACACAGAGAGCGTGTTGAGTCGTCGACGTTTTTCGTGCCTTGTCCTTTTAAGTTTTGTTCAGAGTGTAAAAGGGTAATTTTGAAAAGAGAGGTGTTATCATAACAATTATTGTACAGCCGTCGATTGGAGGCTCGACTTATTATTGTGGGTTTAATAAAGTGTACAAAAAGAGAGTTTTTGTCTATTTTGTGTGTTTGGCCATATTCCCCTTACCGGCGTCTTCCGACATCAGCTGAGGTCACAGACCAGAAGCAAAATTGTGAGCCGAGTTTCGACGTGGGTAAGTCCAATTTTGTTGTGTCGTGTCTCAAGGGTCGTGTCCCTTTTCTCGACCTGTGTTCTCTACAGAATCTCCTGTGAGAGTTATTTTGTTTGATTTTGAGTTTTGGGGTTATTTTGTGATTTTTCTGGTTTGCCAATTCCATCCAAAAATTGGCTGGCGTCTAACAATTTTCACGTTGGGTTATCTTTTTGTAACTATAAAAAGGGGTTATTAATTAGCAGTATAAATTTTCAAGAATTAATTTCAGAGAAATTTTCGACCGATTTTGACGAATCGATTTTTCTCGGGATCAGTGAATTTATCTGGAATTTTGTGTGCGATTCACGGAGGAATAGTAAGGAGACCGATCTCTGCGTTTGAAAATGTCAGAAAAACATGTACGATAAGTGCCAGGTTCAGTGCATTGTACTCAACTGACCAAAGTAGTTGAGCATGCGCATTGGACATCAATTTTGACAGATGAAAAGTGTCGTTATGCGATATACATATATGTCACAATAAAAATCTTAGTGTTCAGTATTTATTTTAGAAATTTTATTTACCATTGCGATATTCTATCTCCAAAATCATGTGTAAGTATATAATAATGTATGCTATTGGAATATTTAAAGTATCAATAAATTGAAGTAATTATTAAAAGAATAATGGAGCCATAGTAATTACAAACATATTATTTATTATGTATACCATGAAAAAGATTTTTCTTACATCCTGGCACACAGCACTACATTTTAAAATAAACATTAATAATAATTATTAAAATAATAACAATAATAACACATAACCCCTTCATCACAACACGCATGGAAGACTTGAGAAATATACGTCAGCCAGATCTCACTCGCACACTTTTTGCGAGAGAAAGAGACAGCACATGGCTAATGCGCATGCTCAGCTACTTTGGTGGTTGAGGAGAATGCAGTGAAACTGGCATTTATCGTGCATGTTTTTCTGACATTTTCAGAAGCGCTACTACAGCAAGATCAGTCTCCTTATTATTCCTCCGTGGCGTGCTTACAGTTTGAAAAAAATATTTATTATTAATAATTGCTTCCAACGTGGCCGGCGTATTAATTATACCATACCATGTGATTCGTCGCGCATGCGTATTACGTGATATCTCGGTGTTTGAATTTGAGACCTATGCTTCTCGACTTGGAAGAAGATAGAAATTTCAAACACTTGTGACTTGCGCAGTAGGGAATCTTGCGACTTGTAAAATTTTCAATGAGTTGAGAAATTGAAAATTTTAAATGAAGTGAGTGGAATAGAATTGAGAGTCGATTAGTGTGACTTGTTAAAAAAATTGTTAAATTAACAAAAATTAATTAGTTATTAATTAGCAATATTAATTAATTCAATAATTCCGTTATAACATATTATGCTTGTTAAGTTGCAAAACTAGAAAAAAATTGTAACTTTCTTGAAACATTATGAAAAAAGTTAATAAATACCAACAATTATTTGTTCAAACAATTGGTTAAATAGTAAATTCATATAAAATCTTTATGTTATTATATTGTGCTAGTTCAGGACACTTAAAATTTTATGCCAAAAAACAAGTACGCTCCTGGAAACTTGTCATTAAAATGACATGTACTAATTTATTGTCTTTTAATGACATTTATACTTCCTTACATTTTCACTCAAGAAAGTGTATC